CCCCCCCCCCCCCCCCCCGCCATACCTCAAGGGCACTGTGTTCCCCGGGCTAAAACTGCAGCCAGCAGCCTCAGGAGCAAACCCACTTAGGGACGCATCAGCTCCGCCACTGTCGCCGTGACCTTGGGCGCGTCCCCATCCCCTCTGAGCCCGTCCCTGCGTGTGTAATGGTGCTGGGCCCACCTTCCACACAGAACTCTGGTGGGGAGAAGAGGAGCCATCCGGAGTCCAGCTCCCCACAAGGTCTCAGCCGGGACCCTACTAGAAAGGATTTACCCCTTGTAGCGAAATCCCCTAGAAAAGCCTCCGTCTGTCCCCACTGCCCAAAGTAGGTGTTCGTATCCCCTCTGAAAACAGCCCACCCACGGCAGGTGCCCAGCCCAGCCGGGCTTCCCCGGGGTGGCCCTGGGCTCTCTCGCCATGTGAAGGGGGAGGGGCAGAGGCAGGCAGCAGAGCCTTGAGGTGCTGGGGTCCCCGCCTGCTGCTTGGCAAAGCCTGCCCGTGCCCCGCCCTCCAGCCAGAGCCAGGGAGGATGATTGCTTTCTTCAGCTCATTCCTAAAGAGCAGACAGGGCTGGCCCAGGGATGGTTCTACCCCTCTGGGCCCTTATTAAGGAGCTACCTAGTTCACTTCACAAGATGACTAATCACCCTCTTTAACTTTTACAAGGTGACTAATTCCCTCTAAGTGCAGGGGCCCTCCGGTGCCTGGCACACCCGGGACACCGGAAGCCGCTTTGCTGGGACACCTGTGCCTCCTGTGTCCTTCCAGCCCATCAGGCTGATGACAATAGCCGCTGGCCTCAGACACCGGGTTTCAAACTGGCGCCTTTCTCTGGAGAGATCCCAATCTGCTCCAGACGTCCCCTGGGAGCCTGTGACTTGACGAGTCAAACTGGAGTCTCCCTGGATTTGCAGACCAGGAACCCGAGGGCCGGGAGGGCCAGCTGACGGCTTCTCTGGTCACCCAGGGCCTGCAGGGCCAGCCCTGCCGCTCAAGGCCTGGATACCCCCAGCTGGAGGGCCCAGGGCCTCTCGGGGTCAAATCTCCCTTCCCAGGCCTGATTGCCGAGGCGGGGTGAATGCCACCCCGCCTCCCCCTCTCTTCCCTTGTCGGAAAAAACGGGCAAGGAAATCGATCCAGCACTGCGAGTGTTTTTCTGTCCCCAAATCATTAATTCTGAGGTTGGAGCAGCAGGACAGGCCCCAGGAGGCTTCGTGCCCTGGTTGCACGGAGATAATTAGGGAAATGCAATTATCATCTAGAGGAGCGGTCCCTCCTCCACGGTGGGAGCCGGGTGGGCCTACAGCCCCCGGGGAGGCTGGCAGGACCGCTCCCTCCTCCTTCCTGGGGAGCCCTTGGGCCCAGAGGCTGCAGGCGGAAAGGGCAAGGGGTGACTGACTCCGCTTCCTCTCTTCCAGCAAGAGATGCTCCGCTACAAAGAGGTCTGCTACTACATGCTATTCGCTCTGGCCGCCTACGGGTGGCCCATGTACCTGATGCGGAAGCCTGCCTGTGGCCTCTGCCAGCTGGCTCGGTCCTGCTCGTGAGTACCCCGTCCTGTCCTTCTGGCCGGCCAGTGCGTGCGGAGGAGCCGAGGTCCCGCGGCTGGGCCAGCCTGTGGGACGCTCTCCCTGAACAGACTGTGCCTGCTGCCCTGCCCCCACCTCCCCTGTGGTCTGCAACCCGCCCTTCCTCTCCTCCACCCCGCCTGTGGGCCTCGACCTTTCTAGTCACGCATTATCCCCAGGCAGGGAAGAACATGGGCTTTGGAATCACGCAGATTCCAAAATCTGCTCTGAATCCAGAGTTTGTCACCCGCAGCCTTGGGCGAGTCGGCAGCCTTGGGCGAGTCGACCCCCCTACCTCTGCAAGGCTCGGTTTCTTTATCTGTGTAATGGGGATGCTGGAGCTCTTTTGAGAGGATTCAACGATAGCTGTCCAGCCTCTGGCACTGCTGGTTCCCTTCCCCTGCCGTGTCTGTCTCTACCTCTCTCAACCACTCCCCTCTGCCCACATCTTGCTCCCTCCTGCTCCTGTCCTGTGCTCCACCTCTCTGAAAGAAAGGATTTTCCACCCCAGGCCTGCCTGCAGCCCGCCTCAGGGGCCCGGTGGACCGTGCTTCCCTAAGTGGACCAGAGAAGGGCACAGCTCCAGGAGGGGCCCTTCCCCGTCCTCGGTGTGTCCAACCTCAGTGTGGCCCAGACAGAAGGAGGACAGCTCCCTGGCTCCCTGGTCCCGAAAGGCTGGCAGGCTGGGCGGCAGCTTCTGTCTGTGACACCCCTGCCCTTGGGGCGGCCACACCTCTCCTGTGGTGCCCTTTGTTTCCAGAAAGCTGGGTGGCCCTGGGGACCTGGTTCTCCCCATCCCCGCACGCCCCCCCAGTGACTCACAGAGCGGACCACACACCCCACGCCCCCTCCAACAGCGGGTCCTCCCAGCGTCCCTGGGAGTCCCTGCCGCTGCCTAAGAAGCTTCTTGAAATGAGCACCAGACCAGGAGTCCCGGGACCTGGGCTCTGACAGGCCCTGCGCCGTCACTCACGGGCAGGGTGGGGGCGTCATTTGTGCAGGCGGTGTCTGTCCCACCTGCACATGAGGTATTTCGGAAGCCAGGGAGTCACTGGCAGGCCGGGCACTCGGGGTGACATGCAGGCAGGAGGGATGCTGCTGTTTTTCAGCTCCCCGGTGCTGCAGGGAGAGAGAAGACGGTCCTCAAGGCCAAGGGTTCAAGCCCAGGTCTCTGTCCCTGAAGGCCACGCTGCGGTGGCCATGGGCTGACCGGGGTTAGAGAGAGGAGACAGCTGCCTGAGAACAGGAGTCTGGCCCCCAGACCCAGGCCGGCCCCCACTTGGCCCTACGGTTGGTGGGAGCCTCTCCCAGCGTGGGTTGAGGTGGCTGCCCACCCCAGGCCCGGTAGCTTCCGAGATGCAGCCGGACCCTGAGTTTGCTCAGCGAGGCTACTCCTCTTCGGGATGTAACAATCCCTTAGGTGCTGCTTGAGTGAAGACAAACCTCCTAGCATCACCGAAATTCAGGCTCCTTAATAAAATCCCAGCTGTCATCTCAAGACAGCTGGCAGATCGCGCTCTTGTGTCCGCTCCGGGCTGCAGGGCTGGTCGGCTGGGTGCTGGCTCCCTCTGGTGGCCTGAGGAGCCCCTGCACTCCCTAGCAGGGTGCCCGGCTCTGACACTCAGCCCCTCGTTGAGGGGGATGCCTACCCCGTGTGCCTGGCGCTGGGGACACAGCGGTAAACCAAGCAGAGCAAAGCCTGCCCCGTGGAGCCATCGCCTGGTGGAGAGGTGCAGACAGTACACAGACAGGGACCCGGAGCCCGTTGGAGCAGATTGATGCTTTGGGGAAAAATAAAGTCGGATGTGTCGTCAGGCTGGGGAACGCTGGCAGGGGCCTGGCTGTGCTAGATGAGGTTTCCAGGGTGGATGTCCCCGTGACCTACACTTGAGCAGAGGTCTGAAGGAAGTGAGAAGTCCTGTCATGAGATATGGCCAGTGCATCTGAGGGCAGGCAGGAAGGCCGGTGGGGCCGGAGGGAAGTCGAAGGTAGCAAGCCAGAGAACCAGGGCCTGATGGGGCAGCGCCCTTGACCCTTGCAAGGACTCCAGCTCTGACAGTAGACAAGAAAGGGCAGCGCTGTAAGGTTTTGAGTGAAATGATGTGGCTTGACTCATGTCTCAGAGGCTCACCCTGGCTTCTGATCGAGAATGCCGAGGACAAGAGTAGAAGAGGGAGACCGGTCGGGAGGCCGCCACGACACTCCGAGCCAGAGATAATGGTGGAAAGGGTGGGCGCCAGGGAAGGTGGTTGGAGTCCGTTCTGAATCTGAAGGCAGGGCGAGCTGATGTGCCGACCGCCAGGCCGTGGGACGAGAGGTGGGGGGAGGACCCGAGGCCAGGTCCAAGTCTGGGACTGTGCACAGAGCAGCTGGGTGTGGGGGATTCGGGGAGCACGCGGGGGTGGACCATCGGGGACTGGGACCTGGCATGGTTGGATGGGGGCGTCTGGAGGCCGGGAGCAGGGCGGGCGGTTCTGTAGCTCGGAGGAGGTGTTCAGTGCCGGAGAGCAGGAGCAGGTGTGGTGAGCGAGAAGGCAGGAAGATCGTTGCTCTGGCGGAGGACGAGCCCCAGGAGGCTGCCAGTGAGGGAGGAGCAGTCCAGGGGTGAGGGGGAGAGAGAGCGTCGAGGGCGAGGGAGAGACCCACCCGGTCCCATGCTGCCAGGAGGCCAAGTAGGCTGAGGACCCTGGGACTTGCGAGGGAGGTTCCAGAGAGGACGGCAGAGAGAATGGCTCTCCCGGGTCTCTGAGCCCTCTGCCACCTCGCCAGGTGCTGCCTGTGCCCTGCGCGGCCCCGCTTCGCCCCGGGAGTCACCATCGAGGAAGACAACTGCTGTGGCTGCAACGCCATTGCCATCCGGCGCCACTTCCTGGACGAGAACATGACCGCGGTGGATATCGTGTACACCTCCTGCCACGACGCGGTGAGGGGCCGCCCGCGCCGGGCCTGCACTCCCTCTGGGGCTGGGAGGTGGTCCCCGACCCCACACCCAACACTGGGGCTTCTCTGCCAGCCTTTTGGGGGAAGGGATCAAGGGAATAAGCAGTGAGGGCCTGGGGAGGGGGCGGCGGTCCTTCTAGACCCTGCAGGCAGGACGGCTGCTCTCAGGCTGTCTGAGCTGGAGGGGAGCCTGGAGGGCAGGGTGGGCTGTGTGCTGGGTGGGGAGGGAGCCCCCGCCAGCCCTGCGGGGCCCAGCGGCCAAGGGAGCCGATTCCGTAGCAGGAAGACCTGCTCAGGTCACTCATTCCCCAGGTCTAGCCCCATCCCAAGGCCATTCGGCTCATGAACCCCCTTATCCTAGGTCTATGAGACCCCCTTCTACGTGGCAGTGGACCATGACAAGAAGAAGGTGGTGATCAGTATCCGGGGAACCCTTTCCCCTAAGGTATGCTGCCTGTGGCTCCCAGCCCGCCCCTGTGGACACCCTCACAGCCCCCGAGGGGTGCCTGTCGTCCTCACCCCTCACCCCACCCCTCACCCGTCCTCTCTTTCCACAAGGATGCGCTGACAGACCTCACTGGTGACGCTGAGCGCCTCCCTGTGGAGGGGCACCACGGCACCTGGCTGGGACACAAGGTACGCCCCGTTCCGGGCCCCTTGCCTTCTCTCCAACCCTGCTGGCACACAGACCTGTCTTGTTGCTGCGGTGGGGGGCCTCCCTGCTTGCGCCACCCCCCCCATCACCCCCCTGAGGTGCAGATTCATCTAGAAGTTCACTGTGGCCCACCCACCAGGACCCCCATGGTCCTACCTGGCCCAGATCCTGTCCCAGAAAAGCCTGAGGAGGCAGCACCTCACCCTACTTGGCCTCCTGGCAGCACAGGACCCAGGGGGTCTCTCCCTCGCCCTCAGACGCTCTCTCCCCTCCCTCACGGGCAGCCTCCTGGGGCTCGTCCTCTGCCAAACCACTGGTTTCTGGTAGACAGACATGCCACTCTTCTGAGCCTCAGTTTTGTCATCTGTGAGCTGGGACTGATGTGAGAAAGTATCCACCAGGCCCCACAGCCAGGAGTCAGGAGGGCCAAAGGGGAAACGGGACAGGATTAGTGAGCTTCCAGCCACTGGTTTTTACTGGTCTCTAAAAGACCTCCCTCCCCCCCTGCCCGTGACACCCACCTCTGTTCCTCCTTACCCAGGGAATGGTCCTGTCGGCTGAGTATATCAAGAAGAAGCTGGAGCAGGAGATGGTCCTGTCCCAGGCCTTTGGGCGAGACCTGGTGAGGCACTTTCCCTGCCAGCGAGCCCTGGCCACGCTGGCCCTGCCTCCCCGAGGGCCACACTGGGGGCAGGATGCGTTGAACGGTGGCGCCTCCCCAGCAGGCCAGGCTCCTACAGCCTCCTTTGATACCTGGCTCCCGGCCCCTCCTCACTTGCTCAGTCCCTCCCACCTGCTCTGACGCCTTCCTCTTTTGCACCAGCATTTCTTGGGCTCCCCTGCTCAGCCCCACCCAGTTGTGAGCACCTGTTCCACGCCAGGCACTGGAGGCCCGAAGATGGTTCGGGCCAGGGGCTTCAGAATCTAGAGCAGGCGATGGAAAATCGTTGCAGAGCCGATCATAAAGGGGGTCACTCTGGTCGGGGTGATCTCCCGAGGTGCTGCCAACTGCTCTTCCCAAAGCCAAGCCGTCCCTGGTCCCCGGAGAGCCCAGTCTAGTGTTTGGGGCACAGAAACAAGGGCAGGTGAACAAGCGATTATAACAGAGTATAATCTTTACAGAACGTACGCTGTTACACCAGAGTATGGTCACCATGTGTGAAGGTCTGCCACAGGTGTAGATGCAGCGTCTAGGAGGAAGTCAGCCTCTCCTGGAAAATCAGAAAGGGCTTCTCCAAGGAGGTACTCTGAGCAAGGTTTGGAAGGATGAGTAGGAGTTTGTTAGAAGAGTCCCCCCAACAAGTTGCTCTGCGTGAGTCTAGCTTGGCCCTCTCTCTCTGCCCCGGCAGCCGCACAGCACAGACACGATCCCGGGACTCCGGGAAGACCCATCCGCCTCCCTGGTTTCAGCTAGTCCAGACAGTCAGCGGGGCAGGGCTCTCAGGTTTCTCTCGGTTTTCAGGGCCGCGGAACCAAACACTACGGCCTGATTGTGGTGGGCCACTCCCTGGGTGCAGGCACGGCTGCCATCCTCTCCTTCCTTCTGCGCCCCCAGTACCCTACCCTCAAGTGTTTTGCCTACTCCCCACCAGGGGGCCTGCTGAGGTGAGCAGCCTGGGGCCTCAGAGTTGGCTTGGGTTGGCGGGGGCTAAAGACTCGGGAGCTGGCCCCGGGCAGTCTGGCTTCTGGTCACACGGGGGCCTGGGAATGGCCCGCTAAGCGCGGGGGGTTGCTGCATCAGATGCCAGGCAGACCCCAGGATCCACTCCCGGCAAAGCCTCACTGGCAGGAAAGGTGCGACAGGCAGCGGGCGGCCTGGCCTGGCACCCGTGAGCTCCCCGGAGGGCCTTGAATCAAAAACTGACCCCAGGAGTGCCGGAGCGGGGCCCGCTCACCACCCCTGCCTTAGCACCCCCTGGCTTCCTTTGCAGCGAGGACGCCATGGAATACTCCAAGGAATTTGTGACAGCTGTGGTTCTGGGCAAAGACCTTGTCCCCAGGCGAGTCGCAAGTCACAAGTTATGCCCTCTCTCCACAGTCCCGATCCCGGTGGACTGTTCCTCCCTCCCCGGGGGATTCCCATCTCCCCGGGGGGAATCCCAGAGCCCCCAGAGCCGGAGGATGGGTGGCCCCACCCTGCCTGACCTCCCTTCCCTGGCTCGGCCCTGCCGAGCTGCTGACTCCCGCCTGCCTGTCCACCCCTCCCACCCTGTGATCCTGATGGCGTGGTCTTTTTGTTTCTGTGGCTGCCATGTGCCTGCCCGCTCTGCCCCCACACCCCACGCCTTTCCCGGGCCCTGGCCAGGCCAGGCTGACACCCGTCTTGGCTCCTTCCCCAGGATCGGCCTCTCCCAGCTGGAAGGCTTCCGCAGACAGCTCCTGGATGTCCTGCAGCGAAGCACGAAGCCTAAAGTGAGCCCCCGCCCCTCCCTCCTGCCAGGGCACGCTGGGCCCTGGGCACCTCACCTGTCCTGTGCCCTGCCTGTCCCTTGGCACAAAGCACAAGAGGCCCCAGCCATGTGAGGCCAGGCTGTGTGTGGCTGATGTCATGGGAACCCCGGGCCCTCAAACTCTCAGACCTCCAAGCTCACCACGTCTCCCTGCTCCTTGTCCAGAGGGGGAAACTGAGGCTGAGGCCCAGAGTGGGCAGGGGACCTGCTGTTGCTTACACAAGCTGTAACTGAGTCAGGAAGGGAACCAAGGGCTCCTGAGTCCCCATCACCCAGAGCTTCCTAAAGTCAAGAAAAAGCAGGCCCGAAGCCCAGTGCTTCAACTTTGCGACAGGAAGCCCCCTGCCAAGCCCGCTGCGGCTCCCCAGGCTCCATGAGCCAGGCTGCCACCGCCGGAGGGGATCTGGGTGCACTTTGTTCTGATGTCCGCTGTGGCTAAGGAGAGGATCAGCCCTTCCTCATACCTCATCAGGTCTCAGAGGAGGACACTGGGGGGCTCCTCCTGTGGCAAGCTGGCCTCAGCATGCCGGGCAGGGGTGGGTGCTGTGGCCAGGTACCCGGAGACAGGCAGGCAGGGGCTGACCTGCACCAGCTTGTCCCCTGTGACCCCCAGGCCGGCCCCCACCCCATTAACCATCTCTGCCCAATTTGGCCTGTTCCCAACCTTGGTGCCCATGACCCTCCGGCAGGCAGGGCCCTGGGTCAGGCACCAGGTGGCAAAGGTGGGCAGGGCAGCAAAGCCTTAGGGGGCCATGTCTGCCTGGAGGAGCCTGGTTCTGGAAGGTAGAGCTGTTCCTATCAGACCCAGGCCTGTGCCCTTGTCAGGCCCAGGAGGCAGGTAGCTGGGAGCCAATCCAGACATGCCCAGGCCTGGTAGGTGCAACTGTGATGAACTTCGGGTTCTGTTCTGTCTCTGACTTAGGAAATGACCTAGAGCAAGTCCCTTCCCTTTGCTGGGCTGTTTCCCCATCCTCTAGATAAGGGGTTGACTGCTCTTCCAGCCCCTTTCCAGCCCTGACATTCAACAGTGTCATATCATCTGCCCTTGGCATCTGTTTGGCCATCCTGGCCACCATATGCCTCGGCCACTGCGTCCTTAGGTGGGCACTGTCCTTTCCTCCACCCATGGCCATCCCAGCTCCCACCTGTCACCAAGGGCCCTCCTTCTGAGGACGCTTCTGCCCCTGCCCACCCAGCCAGCCCTGCTCAGCTCTCTCCCCATCTCCCCCCTGCCCCGCACAGTGGCGAATTATTGTGGGGGCCACCAAATGTATCCCCAAGTCGGAGCTGCCTGAGGAGGTGGAGGTGGCCACGCTGGCCAGCACGCGGCTCTGGACCCACCCCAGCGACCTGACCATCGCCCTGTCAGCCAGCACCCCTCTCTACCCACCCGGCCGCATCATCCACGTGGTCCACAACCACCCAGCAGAGCAGTGCTGGTAGGGTGCTGCCCGCGACCCCGGTCAGCTGTGGGGGAGG